CCCAATCCTCTTCCCCCCCCCCCTCCAAACCGCCCCCCCCGGCCCTTCCCCCCCCCCCTGATTTTTTTTTTTTTTTTTTTTTTTGCATGCAACAAAAAATCCTTGGTGTTCCTCATAAAAAAAAATTGTTTGGTTTTCCTCGGTCTTAAAAAGTTTAAGAAACACTACAATAGAACCTATACAGCCCTCAGGGTGTCACATGGGCTACAACTGGCCCACAGGCTCTAGGCTGAGAGCCATGGGCAAGCCGCTCACCTGGTGCTGGCAGTAACATGGTGAAGGCAGGGAACTCTTCAGGTTGAAGAGACCACAGAAGGGAGAGTGATGCACAGCGACACCCAGGGCATGCCCTTGCTGGGCCACTGAGGGCAAATATAGGTGCAGCTGCCCGCAATGGGGACAGGCATCTCTCCTGCCAGCTGCTCACCTGACTTGATCCCCAAGGCCCCCTGTTCATGAGCCTGACATCAGGTTATTCTCTTCCACCCGCCCCTCCCCACAAAGGGGCTCCTTCTCTCAGCCCTCACCAATCCAAGCGGGGTAGGTGCAATAACCATCTGAGCTGGTGTCCTGGATGCTGCACCCCTGCGAAGATCGTTCAGGGAGAGAGAAAGAGGCAGGCAGCGAGGGAATGGCTCGACTGCTCTGTCGGGAGGGAATCACGAAGAGGAGACCCTCTATCAGGAGCTAGATGGGACAGAGGAACACTCATCCGGCCACCAGGGACACTCGCACCCGAAAACTCCCCGAGGAGCACAGCAAGCTCCAGACCTCGGAGGGCAAACCAAAGGAACCAGCTGGCACCGGCCTGGGAGAGCTGGCACAGCATGGGATAGAGAGAGGAAACTCTAGGAGCCCTGAGACTGCTTAATGATGCGTCTGCATCTCAGCAAATCCATCAGCGATTAAACCACTCCCGAGTCAGAGTGCAAAGAAGTCCACAGGCAGGGGCTACCAGGCAGCCCCTCCTGCCCACAGTAGCCCTCTTCTTACCCCTCCCATACACAGACACAGAATTTCCCTTGCAGGATACTCACAGCTGTAGAAAGACGAGATGCCAGTGTCATCTCCAGGTTCCCCTTCAGTCCCAGCAGTGCAGGAACCAGGATAAATACTTCAGTCACATATTTGAACACGTCCCAGTGCTGCAAGACAAGAGAGTTCCTGCATAACGGGCTATATAAACACACAGTACAAGGTGACAGCTGCCGACTGAGCTCTTTGGGGGCAAGGATGGTCTTTTTGTTCTCTTTGGACAGCACCTGGCCCGCTGGGTTCCAGCTCCACACCTTGGCTTATGAGACATGACAATACTAGACCAGCCAGACTGTGGGGGGTGGGGGGGCTGATGTCCAGCTCTCCTTCCTTCAGAAGCACACCTATGGCCAGTGTAACATGGAACTGGGAGGAACTGTAATTCCTCAGGCTCAAATGCAGTGTCTCTACCTCCCAGGTGCAGCCCTGGTCCTTCCCCAGTTCAAGACTATGGCCCCACCAAGCTCTTAGGAAAGCCGACCCCAACGCCGGAGAGCTCTTTTCCCACTGCAGTGATGGGGGTCTCCCTCTGCCTCCCATTGCAGGGCAGGATCAGGATTTGAGCTCTGCGAGGGATGCACAATGGGAAGAGCCTGCTCTCCAGCTGATCCGGTGTCACACCACTAAGGCCCATAGGCCCTGAAAGGACACAGACCGGTTACAGAGCCGGAGACAGGAGAAGCCTGCCTGTGCTAGCCCTTTGCGGAGGAGCGAATTTAATCATTTACGCCGTTGGCTGTTTTGACTCCGTGTGGCCCGGGAACACACGAAGCCAGAACAAACCCTCTCTCGCATGCTGCAGCGTGATTCTGGGTTTCCATTGGTTAGACAGGCGCCTCTGTAGGCCCCAGCTGAGATGGCAGCCAGGGCTGTATACACACACACCTCACAAGAGAGGCTCCCTGCCTTGGAAAGCTCAGGCTGTAAACACACAAGATGTTTGACCAACAGGGAAACTGAGGCACAGACCGATCCAGTGCTGGGCAGTCACCGGAAATGCTTTGCAGAGCATTTGGTCCCAATCACTGTTCCCTGTACGCTGAGCACTTGGGCAGTTTCCCAATGAAGATTCAGGTGCTGCCCGGCAGCTGGCACAGCACGTGTTTTTACTGGTGGTGCACATCTGCACATGCCTCGGTGCACAGAACAAAATGTATTCTGCACATGGATAGAAAAAATTAGAGGGAACAGTGGTCCCAATCCAGTGCCTCCTGGAAGACCATCCCCTTAGCGTGTGGGGTGCAAACACAGACATTACACTGCAAACATTTCCACCGCTTTCCTCCTCCGCCAACCCCAGAGCACAGCAGCATCACATGCTCTTGGCTTCAGCCCCAGCAGGAGGCCTGATTTATGCTGTTCAGGGAGGGCGCCTCTTCTCCCTTGCTCTGGAACCTGCATTGCTAGGAGACACGCTGCTGCCTCCTCCGCCTCCGCAGCCAAGCCAGTTTCCTTGCGCTCGAGACAGCGCGAACAACCTTGGGCTGCTCAGGAAAGAGATGAAGAGTAATTGCAGGGTTAAGAGCTCAACAGCAGAGCAGCTGGCTTCCTAAGGCCGGATGGGGAAAAAACCACCGAGCCCACAGCTGAAAAGCTGAAGGCTAGAAAACCCTCAAGGGTTATGTGACCAATGCTTTCCTTTCAGACTCACTGAGCGAAAAGCTCTGAGTAGACCCCATCTGCCTTCCCCACAATACGGCCGTTACGCAGCTTCCCTTAGGCAATGCTACAGGGAAGGCCGCGAGTTGCCCCACCACAAACAGGACACAGACAGGACTCGCGTCCCCCTCCTGAGGTGCCACACGCTGATCGCAGAGGGAGGAACTCCAGCCCTGCGCCTGGGTCAACACTACGTCTGAACGGAAAGCGGTCTCCTTGCGTCTGGTGCTCTCCTACCTCACTGTACCGACCGGTTGTCTCCAATGTAATATCCAGGTCGGGGGTGGGCAAATACCAACTCGTGGGCTGGTTCTGGTCTGTTAGGTTTAGCCCGTGGCCACAGATCGCTGTTCCTGGCCAATGGGAGCCACGATTACCTGTACCACAGGGGTGCAAGTAAATATAGCAGCAGCGACCTACCAAGGGCTAACCCTAGTGAACTGCAGCCATTTTATTGCCCACCCCCGGTCTAGGCTGCATGTTCCTTGGGGCAGGAATGGGACAAACACACCCTGCCATAACTAGGGCTGCCCGGTGCTACGGGAATGCTAATTAGGAACAATAGAGGCCGGGCAAGGCTTTTAGAGCTGCGACCACACCAGCAATTCCATGCTGCCACAGGATGTTCCCAAAATTAACGTACTGGAAACCACAGCCCCTGCTGCTCTCATGATACCCACAAAGGCCTCCTCCGCGATGAGCGTTTAGATCTCCCACACCTGCCCTGCCATTAAGGCAGCTCTAGACTGGCACAGACCCCAACAGCTGGCCAGAGGAGCGGTCCTTGCAACTGCAAGCAACAGCGCACGCCTACAACTTGCTGCAAACAGACAGGTCTCTACCTGCGCTTTCACCGGGGGGGAGGGATTCCAATCATTGGGTTCGTTTTTCCCTTTTCTGCACCCTTCCCCTTCAGCGTTGGGGCCACGGGCACCGGGGAAGATGGATTCACTGCACGGCAGGAGAGTGGTGCTTTGAGAGGAACTTCTTCCAACGGAATTAAGGAAACACCCTGACAGCATTTCTAAGAGGCTGCATTTTTTAAGAACAGTCAGGGGGCTTTTGGGGCCAAACCAGAAGCAAAGGCCTCACCCCCCCCTGCAAACCCCGGAGGTGCAATTATGATCAGACATGGGCCTGTCTCAGCCACTCATTGATCCAGCCTTGTTGCTGTCCTTCCCAGAATCACAGAGGAAGCCACTAGGGACATGAATTCTCTGAGAGGAAGGACTGTCCAGTGGTTAGAGCAGTAGCTTGGGATTTAAGCCAGATTTAGTGTCCTGCTCAGCCATAGACTTCCAGAGTGACCGAGTGCAACTCACAGGCGGCGTGACGGGCATAAGCTCTCAACATACAGCACCATTAAGCACACTAAGGGAGATATCAACATCGCAATGGTTTGATGCAAAACAAGATCCATGCTCGTGCTACTACGGCATCGGCATGGGCAACCAGCCAAAAAGGGCCCCAAAATACTATTTCCCGTCGATCTCAGGCAAGGCAGGAGGGAAGAGACGAGTGCATTATGAGACACTGATGACATGAACCCAGAACCAGCCACTGCACAGTTGTGTTCCAAGCATGCACCGGGAGTATAGCCCAGAACGCACAGTGGCACAGGCACTGCGGGATGGCTACCCACAGCGCCTCACTCTAAAAGTGGATGGCAGGTTCCCTAATGGGGACATGCTACTTCAGGGGACATTGAATTCTTCCCCGCAGTGGGGACATGGACCTTCGACTTTGCAAAATCAGGTGACCACGAAGCGACCATAATGGATTTAGCCTCATCTCATAGTGTAGACATGGGCCTCATCTCGCGGCACCTCAGTTGCCAACGGAGACATGACTTCCCTGCCTCACAGGGGTTGCTAAAGCCTGCAGTGCTCAGACAGTATGGGGCCCATGCGAGAACCCGCAACAGATGTGGAGGAATCTGGTAGCACTTGGTGCCTAAAACGCGTCCCTCTTTCCACAGAGTGTCTCCCGCTCAGTTGAGTGGGATTTTCCCAACGTGCCTGTGCTGCTTAGGAGCATCATCCAGCATCCCTGGGGCTATGTCTAGACTACATCCCTGTCGTCAGAGGGATGTAAGTGAAGCACTTCGAAAATGCAAATGAAGTCGGGATTTAAAATATCCCGCACGTCATTTGCATAATCATGTCACGGCGCTCTTTCAAAAAAACGCTATGTCTAAATTGAAACCGCAGTCCTGAGGTTTACAGGATCTTTCAAAAAAGTGCACCCAAAGACTAGACTGCGGTTTCAATTTAGACATAGCGTTTTTTTGAAAGAGCGCCGTGACATGATTATGCAAATGACGTGCGGGATATTTTAAATCCCGACTTCATTTGCATTTTCGAAGTGCTTCACTTACATCCCTCTGCCGACAGAGGGATGTAATCTAGACGTAGCCCGGGAGACAGGCAAGGGTTTGCCCCATTTGGCAGATGCAAACGAGTTGCGTGCAGACCCCCCTGAAGCAGCAACTCCACGACAGAGTTGGGACAAGACTCCAGCTTTCGGCTCCCCTTCACCAACCTGAGAAGAGTCCTTCCAGCTCCTGTGGGGGACGCCAGAAGGAGCTCAGTCAGTGTGTTGGAGCAGCCTGAGCACCCACGGCAGAGGGGGCCATATCTCAGTGCCTAAGGAGGCGGGGAAGAGGCACAGCCACGCCCTCTGACATTTTGCTGGCCTCTGGGCTTGCCAGGCCTCCTTCAAAGTCGTGGGTAGGAGGCTCCTGAGCTCTGCTGCTTCCCCGAATGACTATTTGTAGACTTGCCGTGGAATACGTCGCAGTTCCGGCACTGCCAGCTCTGAGCAGGCACTGCCCATCGGCACGTGCGTACTCCACCGTGGGTCACCACGGCTCCCACACACACGCCGAGGAGTCGGGTGCCATGGAGGCTGCTCGGGAAGACGTGACGCACGCGCGATCGAACATAAGCCAGAGCGGGAGGAGGAATCACCAGACATGGTTCCATGGCTTGTGTTCATCAGGCCAGAGCGGACCGTCGGAAGGGCTTAAGAAAAACACCTACGGACACACCTTGACTTGTGGGCATTTACATGCTGATGAAAGGCTCCTGAGAGAGGCAATGTGGTCTCGTAGTCGCAGACTCAGCACACCTGGGTTCCAGTCCCAAACCTTCCACCTTCTGACGGCCGTTTCACACACACGCCTGTGGAACCATCCGTTGATTGACGCTTGACCAAGCACTCCGGGATTAGCCATGTTAAAAGGTGTTTATTTTGGTGAGCTGGCTGAAAGGTTCAGTGGTTACATGTTTACACAGCGGCGGGGAGGAGGGGGGACAGGAGGCGCCGCAGGAGCTGTTACGCACGAGGAGCTAGCTTAAAAGCTGGTTCCTCACGCACACCTGCTCCTGCCTGCCACCCTGCGTTGTGGCCTCTGCTACAAAGCGAGGGCAGGTGGCTCCCTGGGAGCAGG